GAGCAGGGAGCCCGATGCGGGGCTCGATCCCAGGACCCTGGGATCACGACCTGAGCCGAAGGCAGACGCTTAACGACTGAGCCACCCAGGTGCCCCTCCCCAATTTTAGAGTACAAAACACTTCTCTTGTTCTGTGTGAGGGGACCCAAAGATCTCGAGGTGACCTTCAGCTGAGTCCAGAGGAAGGAGACAAGAGACCCTTTGACAGATCACTGGTTTGGCAGAATGAAGTTGTGAAAACTATGGACATTCCTTCATTATGTCCAAAGGGACTGTATTGATTTGCAGCTGCTGTGGGATGAAAGGATGTCAATTTCATGTCACTTACACCTGCAGTGGGTAGTTTATTTTTTTAAATGTGTTTGTAATGCTGGTTCTTCTTGTATGAACACCTCCCCACCCAAGAATAGGGCTGGGACAAAGTCAGAGCTGGGCTGCAGGACACAGGGGCTGGGCCTGGGCTGGGAATAAGCTGACTGAGGAGGAGGCAGGTGCATGGGATCTGAGAACGGACAGGGTCAAGCCTGAAAGAGGAAAATCAGTCTTCAGATCCAGGGTGCGCAGGAGACCCTACTGGGGTCGAGGCCAGAGCCAGCAGGTGAGAATCTGGGTCTCAGCGGGGACTGCACATTGAGAACACCTTGGGAGGCTCCCTGGAAGATTCTAATGGGCCTGGGGAAGGTTCTGGCACTAGGATTTTTAAAAGAATCTCCCCCCCCACCCCCCGGGTGATTCTCTTGCCGTCAGGTAGGAGAGCCGCTGTCCCCGGGGACAGGCATACGTGTCCACATGTTGGCCTGCCTTGCTTTCTCCCCCAACCTTTGGTGGATTCAGCTGGTCTGGCCAAGTGGCCAAGTGACTATCTGCATTTTCCTTTAAAAATAATTCCGTTCCGGAATCTTCAAGCAATACCTGCTCATAGTAGCACATCATGAAAACAAAGTACAAAGCAGAACACAGATGTTTTACACTTTTTTCCCGGCCACTGATTTACATTGATCCTCTGCGTCTTCAGTCTCTGTAGGTTTTTCAAACTGGACACTCTTGCTTCTCCTTCTTCAGTGGGACCTGCTATTCAAGGGGTCGTGGTATTCTTCAGACTCACAGCGCCGTCCCTTTTGCAGCTGAGATAAGCACTGACTGAGCACTTACAGTCTGTCGGGCCCTACGGGAGGCCATGGGGCCCCAGCAATCTCAAGGAGGCCTCAGGAAGCCTTTAGTCCAGGCATTCTGAAGGCCTTCTCCACGGATCCCACGTGCCTTCTTTCCTGTTTCTTGCCTCTTCTTTTTCCCTGGAGATTAGTGATTCTCTTTGTTATGGCTGAGGTTTCCGACAATTTTCTAGGTTTTCCATGGGATTTAAGGGAAACTTACTCCTCCCTTGGCCACTTCCCTGCCTCTTCTCATACATAGTCTCAAATAAAGTCGCCCTCTCCCCTTTAATCCTTCAGTAAATGAGGACATAGTTCCGCAACCAGCATGGTAAGGTCATGGGAGCGGGGGGAGTGGGCCACTCGGAGCCTCAGGTCACTGGCCCCCATCCACCGGACTCCTCCTCCCCCACAGACAGGGCAGCCCTGGGTGTGAGGGGCAGGTCCTGGCCCCAGAAGGGTCCTCAGTGGGAAATGTTCAGCCCCGGCACTGGGGTCTCTGGAGAACTGCTGGATGGGCCAGGCGTGCCCACACTTTCCGAGCTAACCTCGGAGGAACTCAGGGCGGCCGGGGGGTGCGGCCAGGGCCAGAAGGAAGAGGTGGGTGTTTGCTGGTACATGACAGCCCACAGGCTGGGGATGCTGATGGTGAGTGTGCCTCTTGCAGTCATGACTTGTCCTGAGACACTGGTCACAGTCCCACAACCGCCTTGTAGGTGTAGAGCTGGCTTGGTGGGGTTTTGTTTGCCCTTTTTCCACACGAGGGGCAAATGGTCCCGCTATGCTATGAAAACAGGGCACACACGGGACGCTCACGGCGCTGAGGGAGGTGTGCGGACGCCGGGGGGAACATCCCACCACCTTGGCAACCCTCTGCCCACAAAGCTCTGCAGAGGGGTCAACTTTCAGCCAACACCCCAGCGGCCCCAGAGCCCCTTCTGGAAGGACACAGGATCTTTACAAGGAGCAGCCAGGCAAACACCACAGAAAAATAAACAAGGGCCCAGAGCCAACCCTGTGGACCACAGACCAGTGGCCGTGAGCCCCAGGGCTCTACCCTGGGAGGCACCCAGACCTCCCAACTGGGCAGGACTCTTCAGGCCCCAAGGATGGGAAAGGCCAGGGGGAGGCCCTGAGGCTCCATGGGGAGCAAAGCACAGAGTTTCGGTTAAGGCACCAACGTGGACAGAAAGCCCTGAGACGCCCTCCCTTCATGGAGACCCAGGCTCCTGCCAAGAGTGACATCAATAGTGCCAAGGTCCCCTGCTGTGGGGGGAGACGAGTGGTTCTGACTGATTAAAGGGAAATGCTGGCTCTGGGTGCTGTAACATCCTCCCAGCACAGCAGGAGGTTCACGACCCCCCAAACGGCCCAAGCTGGGGAGGCCCAACACATCTGTGCTCCTAACAACAGAGCCTTGGTCCTCTGTACTCCATACAAGCCACCTCTTCTCCCTTCTCCACCCCGCCCCCTGGTACTGGGGGGGTAGGCTGTTAGGGGCTGCACTGTGTCCCCCCAAATTCATATGCTGATGTATTAACTCCCAGTGCCTCGGAATGGGACCATATTTGGAGATAGGGTCTTTCAAGAATTGGGCCTCCATCCAGTATAACAGGTGTCCTTCTAGGAAGGAGAGACTGGGACAGAGAGGCACCCAGAGAAAAGACCACAATAGGACACAAGAAGGCCGCCATCTACACGCCAAGCAGAGGGACCTCAAAAGAAACAGCCCTGCTGATACCTTGATCTTGGACTTCTGGCCTCCAGAACAGTGAGGAAACACATTTCTGTTATATAAGCTGCCCAGTCTGTGGTCTTTTGTATGTCAGCCTTGGGAAACTCATACAACGGGGGACAGGGGACGAGAGGAGGAGGAGGGGGTCCAGGTCAGTCCCCACCTCCCACCACCTTAGGCCTTTGGAAGCTCACATTTCTCCACCTTTAGGAGACCCAAAGATCTCATGAGCGCCCATTTGCCCCAAAGAACCAGTTGTTCAGAAGGGTACCCCAAAATACCCCAGAACTGAGGATTTTAGAGTAACCTAACATAGAGTAGAGGTTAGGTTTGGTGTCCAACGAACGCCAGAGACACTCACCTACAGATTGGTCGTTTCTAAACACAAGACAGGTTGGGGAACCCCTGTGGGTGCCCCCAGGTCATACAGCCAACCTCATAATCTCAGGGACCGCCTGTTCAGCAGGGGCTCAAACAGGGAGGGAAAGAACCAGTACTTTCTCTCACCTGAGCAGGGCACTCACCGCGTGGTAGTGACCCCAACACAGAACTGAACCAGAGCTGCCTTTCCTTGGACAGATCCGGGAGGCCCCAGGGTGGGAGGGGAGGCCTGGGGGCAGGGCCACTCTCCCACCTCTGCCGCAGGGGTTGGGGGACCCACACTCCTTCTCCTGGCGTCCCGGGGCCAGTCCCCGCCCGTACGCCCTTTTACCTTCCCGCCTCCTGGCTGGTGCTTCAGGTTTTCGGTGGAGCCGATCTTGGATCGGACGTTCTTCAGGTCTGGCATGGGGACGGGGGCGGTCTGCAGGCGGCTCTTGGCTGAAGACGGCGACTTGGGTGGGGTGCGGACCACCGCCACCTTCTTGGGCTCCCGAGTGGGCGGGGTTGGCAGTGACGGGGTGCGGGAGCGGCTGCCAGGAGTGCCCGGGGAGCCAGGGCTGCTGTAGCCGCTGTGGTCCCCAGATTTCCCAGGTTCACCTGTGGGGACAAGCGGCAGTGAGGCCAGTGCTTGGGGAAAAGGTCCCGGGGGCTGCCCGTCCCGAGGGCCCACTCCCAGACGCAGGCGGGAACCAGGTCGGAGGCCCCGCTAAGCCAGCAGGAGGCTGCCTCCGACCTCATTTCTAGAGACAGGCCTGGTCACGTAGGGACAGAGACTCCCTGTTTCCCAGGGAGGAAACAGAGTGGTCACCAAGGACCACCTGGTACCCTTTCCCAAGGGGACGACTCTGCCCCATGGCCCCGGGGTCAAGAGACTAGGTCCAGCTAGCTGTGCGGCCTCAGACAAGTCACCTTCCCTCTCAGAGCTTACGGGCCTCAGCTGAACATGGGAATAACGACAGTGCCCGCAGGGAGGGAGGCCAGGCACGGATGCGCATGGATGTGCTCTGAAAGACTCTAGTGCCATCCTATGTGGCTTTTCCCTGAAGAAGGGTGACACGGTGACAGGACCAGGGGCCACACTTGTCTGGATCTATTAGACCCTTTACTCACTGGGTGAATTTTAAGCTCTTCAGCAAGTTCCAGGCCCCTTTCCCCGCAGGCCCCTGCACAGCCTCCCTAACCTCTCTGTGGCATGTGGGCTCCAGAACGGGATGCCTGCTCTGTGTGCACCTGTCCCTAGCTCTCCAGATGAGCCATGCCCCCTTGTGCCGCCCTGTCCTGTGCTGTGCTCTCCAAGAACTCCCTTCCCCCTACGCCGATGCATGGCTGTCCGAGCACCTTTCCCAACTGCCAGGAAGGCTGCTGGGGCTGCTCTTTCCCCAACGGACTCAGTCCTGGCTCCCCAGCCTGCTTCCGTCCTGCACTTCCCAGACCCCGCACACTCCAGTTACTATTCCATGAGCCCCATGAAGCAGTGTTCTCCAAGTGTGGCCCAGGGACCCCTGTGTCAGCATCTCCAGAGCCTTGGGTCAGGCGTGGGACCTGTAAGATGCAGATTCCCGGGCCCGTCCAGACCTGGAATGACAGAACCCCCTGGGCTGGGGCCTGTCCTGCTGGTTCCTCCCAAGTTCCCTGGGGATTCTTGAGCACACCTGAGTCTCAGAGCCATGGGGCTGGATGCTGTGCCTGGGTGAGGGCCCGGCTCCCCTCGGCTCTGAGGGTGGCTGAGCTCTATTGGTACCTCCAAGCTTCCCAGATACCCTGGTCCCTGCCCCAGGAACCATCTATACCAAACCGGGACCTGCAGGCCTCACCCTGGAGAAGGTGGCTCTTGCCTGGAAACACTGGGCAGCAGTGAAAAAGCGACTTCTCTCGTCAAGAGGCAGAAGAAGCCCCGCCATTTTTAGAGTTTGAATTTCCATGTCTATTGGACGTTCCTAAGGTCATCAAGCTCTGGGGCAACAGAACAAACAAAGCTTTTCCGCTTTTTACACATCGGGAAGCAACAGATGGGGCCTCCGCGCCAGGCTCAGCCCCCCGCCCCCCTGCTCCTGCCTCCAGGCACACAGGCTGACCACTGGACTTGGGGGTGCTGCAAGTCCTTTCTGCGCCACTTAATTGCAGACTGACCTTGGGCAAGCCATTCAACCTCCTAAGCCTGCGTCCTCATCTGGAAAGTGGGGAGAGCGGCCACAGCCCATGGGGCTGATTTGAAGGCTGGATGTAGCACCAGGGCAAGTGTCCGGTGCAGGGGTGAGTGCTCACAGGGTGTGTGTTTAATAAACGTCAGCGGGAATTTCACACCTCCACCTTGGGCCGAGCCTCCAGCACCCACAAACAGCTGGAGACTCATGCTTCCTGCCCCCAGAGTCTCGGCTGAGGTTCATGAGAACACGCGGGAATCGAAAGGTCCATCAGACAGATGCATCTGCATGAGCCACAGAAAGAGGAGCAGGAATTCGGACGGTTCTGCGTTCAGGTTCAATGTGTGAAACCCACACCTCAGAAGCAGGTCGTCTCTGCTCTCAAACCTAGGTCAACAAACAGCCACACACGCACAGCGAGTGCCCCACTGGGCAAAGCAGCCCCCGAATTACCTCGCTTGGATTTTGCCCCCGCAGGGGGTGGTTTTCTCTGCACTTGCTTGGTAGCTTAAAAAGAAAAATCCACAGAAAGCCTCATTATAATCAAGCTTAAACGGGGCCTCCGTGAGTCTTCATGCTGCAGGCACCAGCCAGGCCACAGGGCAGAAGTGAGCTGGGCAGGGAGTGTGTTCAGGGAGCAGGGGTCCCCACTCGCAGGACACAGGTCAAGGCGGCCCACCGAGGTCTGTCCACCCGTAAGCTGCCACCCGAACGCAGGAAAGATCCAAAGAGAAAGGCGCATTCTCGTTCCCAGCCATGTGAGTTGTGTGAGTCAACTGGCTTAATGCCAAGTGAAGAAAAGCAGGATCAAAATCATGTACAAAATCCAATCACAATTCTGTGAATTACCCTTATGTCATATGAATTATAGACAGGAAGAAACCATCCAATGGGCATTCGTGAGCAGAACATCCTTGCAGGCACCACCCCAGGGCAAAGGAGGCAAACATCACCGCAAAAACATGCAGACAAAGGGCTCTGAGCTGCCACCCCAGGGTCAGTGCACAGCAGAGAGACCCCTGAACCAGTCCGGGCTTCTCGAGGCCTGTACAAGATCCACGGGGCCCTGAGCACCACCCCAAAGCCAAGGCAGGCCAGATGCCCCCAGAGTCGTGCAGAAGCCAAACCTGGTCGCCCGGGACAGGGCCCCTGGGGCGGGGGTGGGGGTGGGAGAGAGGAGCTCAGCCTGGCTGTCTCCCATCCCCAAAGAGGGCAACTATTCTTTATAGCACCACTGGGAGCAGATTCGCTCCACGGAAGCCTGCCTGGTACTCAGAACTAACTGGGCTTTACTCACATGAACGCTGGGATATAGGCGCGGAGTGCAGGTGCTCAGCCGAGCCGCTCAGGGCCCGCCAAAGGGCCCACTCCAACAAGTTCAGCTGAGCAGGGGCCACACCTGGTGTGAGGTCACCCCATCCCAGCTGCTGCTCTCTTTCCAGAGACACAGAGCCACCATGCGGGGGCCCCGAGGCTTGGGGTCAGAGAAACTCAGAGCATCCCCTTTCCTGCCACTTAGTCACGCGGCTGCATGCTCTTCATGCTTGAAGTGAGCTGCTCAGACTTCTACCTGCACATTCTTAGGGTCTTGATTTCGTCATCGCTCAAAAGTGGGGATTCAATATCTTGGAAAATTGTCAAAAATGAGCGCTCAGGTGTTTAGTGAGCTGCAGGTGTCCGTGTGTCCGTCAGCTACGGCAGTGATTAACTGCCAGGGGCCCTCAAAGATGAGGACTGCCCCTACTGACAGCCGCCCCTGACCTGGATTCCAGAGAACGTTCTTCTTACCGGTGCCCGGCGGGGTCTTTGGGGAGGGCGTGGTTTTCGCTGGAATCCTGGTGGCATTGGCCTGGCCTTTCTGGCCTGGAGGGGCTGCTCCCCGGGGTGTGGCGATCTTCGTTCCGGTTCTACCATCCGCCCCCTGTCAACCGAAGCACGGTACAGTGGTTTTTACGACCGGGAAAGGTGACTCTCACCTAGAGTCCATGCCAGCCCCACTCAACCTCCTTAACTCAAAACGAGGCTAAGATTGGGGTGACCCTTTGCCTGGTAGACGCAACAAGCGTCTTCCACGATCTCAAGGGTTTGCCGGCTGCACAAACCCATAGCTCCACCCAGTCGCCAAGCTCCCGGACCACCGTGGGCTCCTGGAGGAGCTGTTTACGTGAGTTCTCAGCATGAGTTGTGCTGTTGTGTTTTATCAAAAGGTAACAGAGCTTAGGGGCGCCTGGGTGGCTCAGTTGGTTGGGCGACTGCCTTCGGCTCGGGTCATGATCCTGGAGTCCCGGGATCGAGTTCCGCATCGGGCTCCCTGCTCGGCGGGGAGTCTGCTTCTCCCTCCGGCCCTCCCCCGTCTCATGCTCTCTCTCTCTATCTCATTCTCTCTCTCAAATAAATGAATCAAATCTTTTAAAAAAAAAAAAAGGTAACAGAGCTTAGAGTGACGATCAGGCTCATCATCCGCCCAGGGCCGATCGATGGGCAGGACATTCCTGTGTGGACAGCCATTTCCCGACTCTCCACAGGGATTCACCTGACTGCTGGTGGTTGGTTTCACCAGAGGCTCCCAGGGACACTGATGAACCTGACCGCGGGTGCTAACAGAGCTAGGTCATTCTTCTGTTCTCTCCCAAACAATCCTTAGGTTTCGGTGACTCCTGAGACGGCTAAGAGCCCTTGGCGGGGTGAACACCGGCGCCAATTAGCAAGCTGGCCAACAGTTGAGAGCTGGTGTGCAAGCCGTCTGCTGACTGGGGGCAGTTATTGGGTTTGACCTTGACACATAACACAAACTCAAAAAGAAACTGACATTCACCAAAGATCATAGGATGGTTCAAGGGGAGTGGGGGGGAGGGTGCCCTTGCGGGACTGGCTCTGGGCGTGGTGCCGCATCTAACCCACAAGGGGGCGATCTGGAAGCACTCCCAGTTAGGGCGGTGATTTTCAAACCAGGAAACCAGGGCCCCCTCGGGTGCTGTAAGGGACAAACAAACAACGAACGGGGTGGGGGGTAGGGCTGAGAAAAACAGTGCCACGCCCCCCTTGTCCCAGTTCAACCAGAATTTTCACTGTTCTACGTGGTGCTTCTAGGTAAGAGTTTCTCTGAAGGAAGGTCTTTGTGGCTAAAAACAGCATCCATTTGAAAACCGTAGTAGAGTAGCCTGATTCTTTTCAAAGGTGGTTTCCTTACCTTGACTTTCATTTCCTTTGCTCCAGAACTGCCAGTTCGGGGTGTGACAGAAGAGACGTGTTTAGGAGAGGAAGATGACTCTGGGCACACGGCAGGGCTGGAGGGTTTGATCAAAGGGTCTGAGCTACCAGGAGTGGGGCGTTTGGGGCTAAGGCAAGGCCTAGTTTTCAGGGTTTTAGCAGAGGAAGGTGTGGATGTCTTAAACATAAACATAAATAAAATCAAAATAAAAGTCAGCACATGGGGGAGGGGAACAAACTGAAAAAGGAGAGTAACTAAAAATAAACAAGGCAGGCAATGGTTTAAAGCAGTGATCTCCAGACTGTCTGGATTGTGTACCCTTATCCCCTAAGGACCGAAAGTGGCCACACACCCTAACGTCCTTGTAGCTATCAGTTAAATACATATACTATGATGCCAACATATGACGTACATTATAAAACTTATGTTTGATGGAACTGTTAAAAGAGAGGAGAAAAAAATGGATAGAAGTTCTAGAATGTTCTTTAGCCCGTTGGATCTTCTTGTGCTACACCCCTGCCACTTTGGAGACCCCCGGTTTAAAGGTGTTTCACGCCCAAAGAGCTCATGGAGATCGCCAAAGCACACGATTCTTAAGATGTTTTTCAAGAAAACATCCCCAGTGTGTCATGGGTCATCCCCAGTGTGTCATGGGTCATCCCCAATGTGTCATGGGTCAGCAGGGCCCCACTTTCCGCTAAATTCCAGGTGAGGAGCTCATGCTGGCCTGCTAACCCTAGGCCTTCTTCCGCCACATTGAGAGTATCACACTTGCTAACATCAGGATTATGCCTATCCCAAGTCTTAAAGATTCTGCCGTACACCTCAGGTTACATGTGCACACGTGTGTGCACTTGCCACACATACACACACACACTTTCTGATCAAAGTCTCAAGCAAAACTAACTTTCACACTATCTGGTAAATCCTAATCTGGCCAGTGTTCACTCTTGAACACATTCTACCTAAGGAAAGAGTCTGGGTGAGTTAACCCAACAAGAGGCCGTGGGGCCGGACGACCTCACAGACGGAGCTGCCCCTTCGAGGAGAGGGAAACTGATGGACAGTGGTTAGCACCCATGGTTTGTCCTAACTGGCTCTGGGGGACTTTGACCAGGAAGCACGGCCCTGGGGGAGGAGGTGAGCTGGGAAGAGGAGGAGGAGGAGGGGTCACACCTTCAGGCGTATAACAGAGAGGCCTAGTCCAGAGGTGTTTCCAAGAGGGAGTCAGAGCTACCAAACAAGGACCTGGGCTTTGTTTCCTCGTTGCCCTCGGATCCCCCACCAAAATGGCAGAGGCCCTGTGTGCGGCCAGCCTTGGCGAGGAGGAGGGCCCAAGGGGTGGGGAAAGGTGTGAGGGGACAGACACAGGCTGAGGTCCTGGAACTGGTGATAAGAAAAGTTGGGGGTGGGTACTCCTCCTTCCCCTGCTGCACAAGGCCCCCTTCTGCCGGCGGCACTCCCTGCCTGGCCCAGGTTCGTGCAAGATCCAACCCCTCCCTGTCCAGGGCAGGGATGTTGTTCCCATGTGTGCGAATGAATGAATGAATGGAATGCATGCATGCACGAGGCTGGGATTCCCCTGACGTGCATCCCGACTGGCTAGCAGTCTTGCTACGGCTTCGCGCCTCTAGGGCAGAGCCCCCCAAGTCCCCGCAGGACCCTCAGCTCCTCACCAGGGTTGTGATGGCAAACCCTGACCCCCTAGAGGGGAGGCACAGCGCATGCTACCCATCTCCTAGAGCTACCCTCTGCCTCTAAGGACCCCACCAGGGCTCTGGGATGGGTGAAGACCCAGATATTTCAGGCAGGATTTATACTGGAAATTTTAGGTGCCTTTACAAAAAACAGGTCTTCATCTAGGGCCTCAGTGGAATTTTCCTGGGGAAACTCTACTGTGCATTTACGGGGGAATTTTCCAGGATGCAAAGTCATTAAGGGGGGAAATTACAGCTGACAGGAAGCACTGAGAAAACCAGCATGGTTCTGATGCACTTTCGGTGGGAGCAGGTGCTTCATTCACTGCTCCTCAGGTTGGTTTTTGAAGTCTGACTAAAGCTTGAGTCGAACTGGCACCTTGGCAAGATTTCAAGATGGCACAGCTTACATCCCACTGTACGTCAGCCCCACTCAGAGCTCTGCAGCAACCAACCCACCTGCCTAGAGTTCTCAGAACATGCATCATCTCTCCATGCTTCTGGGCTTTGCTGTGCTGTTCCTACTCCTCAGAATGCTGTTCCCATCCCTGCCTCAGCAACTCTCCTTTATATTTCCTTCCCCATCTGCCTCATAGATCCCCTCTTCTAGGGCTTATCCAGAACCCTCCACCTTAGGTTAGAGGTCACTTCCTTGATCAATGCTCCCTTGGCCACCTGAATAAACGGTATTTTCTCTACACCTTAAGTATGTGTGTGTACATATACGCTCACTGAGCCTGGATCTGCAGTGGGAAGTCTAAGATGTGCAAAATTCAAACTTTATTGCAGAAAATTCAAGTGTATCTTTGTTTGCTATGAACACCTCATTTCAACTATGCTAACGGAATTGCAATTAGGAGCATGAATTCATTCATCTGCTGACCGCCCTTCCCTGGCATAAGCATCAAAGTGGATAAATGCTGGAATTTTAACTGTTTGCATAAAAATACAAAGCACTTTTTAAATAACAATCATCCTTCAGTGACAGACGCTCCCCACATATTACATAAAGAAATCCAGATAAGCATGACTTCTTGATAAACTTGACGTCGGCAGAGGTTTGCAGTTTTGTCAGCTTACCTTGGCTTTTTTGTCCTCGGGTCCAGTCCCATCTTTGCCTTTACTGACCATGCGAGCTGATAAGATATAAAATGAGAATGTATGTTACACCCGATTGCAGAGCTCCTGGAAAGAGCTGGATACAGTTGCGCTGATTTCTTGGGATCCGTACAATGTGTTCTGTTCAGCTGGGCTGGGTGGAAACCCAGTGGATTTTCTTTCCCCTTGAATCTGTCTCTCATTGTTAGTATCAACACAGCACACTGGGGTCATTGCTTGCTGCACCCTGACAAGAGGGGGCAGCAGGCTGGCTGAGGGTGGGGACATGCAGAGGGGGTGCGGTGAAAACTCTTCCAGGCACACGCGGGCGACAGGGGCGATCAGGGAAGGTAGACAGTGCAGACCCCATCTTTCATAGGCTCCTTCCCTGTCTCTGCCAGGGTCAGCCTCTCCCAGTGGGGACCGACCCCACTCCAAGGAAGGGCATTTGGAGGCCCTCGGGCAATAGACGGGGCAGCTCAGCTATGCTCCGACCCCCTGCGGGACCCCCGGACTCATGCTGTCACCCAGAGCTTGCCCCTCGCTAATGGGGGCTATGGTCGCCAGCCCCAGCTGCCCTGCCCTCTGACAAGCCCGCTCCACCCCTGACCCGGCCGGGAAGGTCTTCTCACCACCTATGGGCCCTCCCAAGGGGACTAATCCTTGCCGTTTTCCCAAATTAGTTACAGACTAGTTACCATCAAACATTTTACAGGTGTCTCGAGTTTAGGACCAAACGGCAGGCGGCTTTTATGTGTAGAAAGCCACGCCCCCTGGTGAAACCATGTGTCTACCAGCATCCTCTCTAACTCATCCCTCCCTTTTGTTGACATTCTTTGCTGAAAATTGATGATAGATTTTCGTCCTTGGTTTCAATATCGTATTCCCCCTGCTGAAAAGTCAGTGGGGCCTCCTGGAGCTTCCCACTGGCTGCCGGAGACTGGATCTCTAGAGTGGCCCGGATTGACGATCCAGCCCAGAGACTGTCACACATTACTGCGCGGGAGACGGGTTGATAAAACACAGATTCCTGGGCCCACGCGAGACTCGGTAAGCTCAAGGTGGGGCCTACGAATATGCATTTTAATAAGAGCCCCAGGTGGAACTGATTCATGCTTTTGCCCAAATCAACCTGATATCACCATCCATGTCACAACAGAAGCATCTGCTAGATCCACATTTCCCAAATTGGGTACTACTGCACAAGTCCTCTTCCAGGAGGTGTTAGCAGGTCAGATCAAGTAAATTTGGGAAATCCGTACTCTGTGTCTTTCTCAGAGGGTCATAATGTGCATTAGAATATTAAAGGCTCTGACAAGTCCTGCTGCAACAAACCTTGCTTAACTTTGCTTCACCTGTTTTTCCAAACTTATTGGATCATGGAGCTCCTTTTCCCCTGAACACATCTATCAACAGCCAGTATTCAATAAAACACCATTTCAGGAAACACTATTATAATTTGCCAAGTCACACTTATTTGTCCCCTACTATTTTGGAATTTAGGATATTTTAAAACAGGATAATATAGGAATTTTGGGGGGTCTTAAATTTTAATACAAGTTCCTTTATGTACAACATTTCAAAGTTCTCTTGACAAGTATAATCTAATAAAATCTAACAGATGTTTGCAATTGACAGCTCAAGTAACGGATTTCTGAGCCCTGTGAATAATTCCAACACACTAGATATCCTAAATGTATGAATGCACCCGACTAGTAACCATGAGGTCTCCACTGGCCTCCTCGTCTTCCTGACAGAGACGCCAACACAGGGGAACCTCCCCTATCACCTCTCCGGCTCCTGAAGGGCTGCTGTGCTGGAAGCAGGCTGGGGCTGAGGCCCCTGCAACCTCAGCACAGGGGTTCCCAGGCTGCCCCAAAGGAGGAAGAGAAGATTCAGACAGGAACATTTTGTTTGTGCTCAGTGTCTCCCCTGCCACGAGGCAGGGCGGGTAGGGGTGGGGCTGTTGGGCCAAAGGCTCAGCTTGGGCTCTGGGCTACCCCCAAATGCTCGTGTATGTGTCACCTGCTACATGTGATGTGTTGTCCACTGACAAGAGCAGCAGAAGACAGGCTCATGCCCTCTGCGTCTCTGGGCTCGGAGGGCACACTTCAGAACCTTCTAGAAGGTACTGTGCTGAACAGGGAAGAGCGTGACTTTCAGAGCAGACCCACCTGGATTCTGAACGCGGCTCTGTCACTTACTACTTGGTGAACTTCAGCGAGTTACGTTACCTCTCTGAGCCTACTTCCTCATATGCAAAGTGGGGCTAATTATGCCCTCTTGGAAGTGTTGGGAGGGTTCTAGACAATGAATTTAGGGCACATAATCAGCCCTCCACAGCGGACCAGCTGTTATTTGCTCTGCGGAGGGTGGCACACCAGCCACCTGTGGGCTGATGGACCGTTGTGGGTCATTCGGGGGGCCAGAGAAGTGGACAGGGTGGAAAGCACTGGGTGGGCTGGAGGTCACATGCAGCATGGCGGGCAAGCGTGAGAGGAGTGCGTGCTACCAAAGCCCGAGGGGCAGGAGGCGGCTGTGCCCGGGGGGCAGGTTTAGTGACCCTCCCTAGGAACCTCGGAAGCAGCAGGAGTCAAGGAGGGGCTAGAAGCTCAGTGGCAGTGCCCACAGCCTGGATGCCACACGAGGTCGCCAGGAAGGAGCCAAGGTGCTCAAGACACAGACCTTTGAGTTGAGGGACCCGGCTGACAGGCTTCCCTGGCAGAACAGCGGCAGGCTGCTTTTCAGAAGGTTCTGGAAGGTCAGTCTTTTTTGTGTCCTCTCCCTCAGAAGGGCCCTGGGACTCTCGCTCCTCTCCAGGGGGCCCTGGGAGGGCAGCCCCTTCCAAATCCCGCTCTGAATGTCCCTGTTCCTTCTGCACGTTGGCTTTGATTTCCACGTGGAAGGTGAACTCGGGGGGCATGTCCTGCCCTTCCACCGAGGGCCCTGAGTTGGGCCCGTGGGGCTGTGAGGCCTCAATCTCTGTGGAGACGTTGGAGAGGAAATCGACAGGGAGGCGGATGGCACCCTCAGCTGGGAAACTGGGGAAGCCGGTGGTTCCTCTGGAAACTGCTGGGGGGGGTGGCCCGCCTCGGGTGGGGGAGCTCTGGGAGGGAGGGGAGTCCTGAGGCAAGGACTCGTCCACATCGCGGTCTTCATCGACTTCCTTGCTCCCCCGCCTCTCTTTGCCACGGTCCCCCTTCAGAGGTGGCCAGTCCTGGCGCAGGTCTCCCAAAAGCTGGTGCTCCAGTGTCTCCAAGCCATGGCGACTGCCCTCTGTGTCCTCAGGTTCTGTCCCCGCAGGCTGGCGTGTGGCCTCCCTGGGGCCGTCAGCCTCGACGGGAGCCCCCGGCGTGTAGGACCCATGCTGGCCTATCAGACCCAGGGTGCCCGGGTCGGTGGCCTCACCTCGATGGTGCCCTGGCTCCCCGAGTAGGCTCTCCTGGACAGCCCTGACACTCCCAGGTTCCATCTGGAGACTTCCAAGGGAGGTGGGCTTTGGAAAGGCCAGACCCCCCTTGACCCCATCCCCTGGTTTTGGTCCCCACTGCTGGTGGGGCTCCTGAGGGCCTCCTGTTGGAGAAGGTGGTTTGCAGATGGGGTGACGCTGGGAATGGCAAGAGACCACCAGTGCGGCGGCCTCCGGCCGTTTCTCCCCCAGAGGCAGCACAGAGACCCCAGAAGTTTCTCTGCCGTGTTCAGGCTGATCCTGAGAGCTAAGCCCGTTGACCGGGGGCCTCTCAGGTACCTCCCTCTGCTGGCCTGGAACTCTCAACTCCTCTGGGTTTGAAGAGGCAGCGGTGGCAAAAGGTTGGCAAGGACGCGATAATTGTTTAAGAGAGAGAATGCACTCTTGAAATAAGAAAAGGACATTTAAACAGCACCACAAGCCCAACTAACAAAGAAAAAGGAGCGCGTGCTCTGAGCTCATCCTTGTTGCTTTCCATTGCTCAGAATGAAAGCTCTGTTGGTCTACCTAACACCGACTCACTGGGTGACGCTGGGTGGGCAGGCATCTCCCCTCTCTGGGCCTCAGTTTCCTCATCTGTAAAACGGGTGCTCAGACCTGTTGACCTCCAAGGCCCCGTTCAGCGCCAGCGTTATTCCTCTGCCTCTCACGGGCTCTGGGTGGGCTCAGAGCATGTCAGCACCTCCAGGGCTGCCAACCCCGCTCTGGGGCTGCCTTGTGCTGAATCTGCTAGGCTACAGAAGCTTCTTCTTCTCTCCAGGGACACTGAACTTCCTGAAGATTCTGGCCTCTAGATAGGACCTGGCTTGGGTGCAGGGAGGATACCATTTTCTCTCCCTCTCTGTTTCCCCTTTCTGCAAAATGAAACCAGCAGTTGCCCATAAACCAACCCCGCCTTACGATTTGGAAAATGCCTAAATTCATCACCACCAGGGCTCGAGTCTTTACTAATAGACCTGCCACAAGGTTCCTATAAACAGAAGCGCGATTCAGATTTATCTGGGTCATGGATCATGGATGGGCCTTTTGCATAAGGCGAGGCAGCCACTGTGGTGGGAAAGGACTCTGCATGGCAAAGACATTGCCTGCCAACGAGACCACTGTTTTCAGCCCATACCACAACTAGCAGTTGGTGGAGGGCACGCTTCATTCTTTCTGGCTCATTCGTGCGGCGTTCACGTGAGCCCTCCTTAAAGCACCTGGCCGTGTATTAAGGACAGGAGAGTCACACTCTCTGGTACTCCTAACCAACACCCTTTGGGTTTTTTTTAATTCCCAACCTTCACACCTCGCATCTAGTCCCTGCAGAACAACCCACACAACTCCACCCTAGGACCCCAAAGATTCAGGGTACTGGAGGAGCTGAGGGGAAGGAGGTGGGAAATGCACGTGTGCACACAGTCGTGTGGCCGTGGACATACCTCTCACGTGACCACCCTCTCTCCCCACCCAGGCGGAGTCCGTGCAGACGCCGGCAGGCTCACTACCAAGAAGCCAGTCACAGCTCACCTCCACCCCCACGATTATGCCAGGGCCTCGAGCTCACCATCTCCCTCATTTCATGTTCCTAGCATCAGTCACAGTGCCTGCCCCCCAGTGATGATCAATAAAGGAATCTTGCATGGGTGAACTGGTATCAGGAAGATATGCTCTTTTCTGTTTTCTGCAGGGTCTACGGGCACCTTACTGGGGCCAATAGCCCGAACAAGAGACAATCTGAGCAGCTGCCTCAACACCATGACACCTCATCAACCAACCAGCTCGACAGACCAGAGGCCATGCGCGGTAGGTGCTAGTCTTTACACCTCCTTGACAGGCCAGGTCTCCCTGCCTTCTGGAAAAAGCTTTCCTCCCAGAGCTTCCTAGAAATTGCTCGTGGTCAGGACATGACCATACTGATATACCATAAGACCGTAAATGACCCTCATGAAAAGGGAGACAAAGGCCCCAAACATAAAGAGTAAACACACCTTAAAAAGTCATCAATATTTGATTGTATAGTGTGTGTGTGTTTGACTGAACCTAACATGCATATACTTCTGGAGGAAGGAGCCAGGCTGGGAGAATAGTCTACTCAGTTCCTAGAACACTATGAAGTGCTCCATAAGTAATAAACATGGCCATCATCTGGGGGGGGGAGGGTGGGGGGGCAGTCCAAGGGAAGAGATATCTGGGCAACATGTGTGAAGGCCTCTGGACTCGGGATAAACGGTCCCCTCACATTGTCCTCAGGAGGCCTGGCGCTCGTGACACAGATGAAAGGTCTACCCCTGGTGTGAGCAGGACATGGGTAAGGCCTTCCCACACCTGACACTCAGTTCACTGCACACCATCCTGAAACATCCTCGTCTACCTTAGGGGAACTTCATGAACACAGGCTGCCAGAGGTTTGCCTTCTGCCGCAGGAACTGCAAGAAGATCTAGTAACGGGGCTTTTGTTACACAGCTTTTCCTAAATCTGAAAACAGACAACAGGCCTTTGGGAAATAAGATGTGTTTGTGGATCATGAGTGTGTCCGAGCCTCGCACAGATTCACCAGAGGAAAGTGGCCTTGTCAGTGTGGACCAGCAATCCCCATCAAGGCATGAGGTGTTGGTCTTGGGAGTGGAGGTAGAAACCTCGATGTTTTCACAGATTTGGTGCCCACTTCCCACGGCAAATGTCAATCTGGTGTTCATCTTTATATCTACACGATTCTAGGCCACTGATGGAAAAAATGGAAAAATTCAGTGGGCACAAAAATAAAGTTCCCACAAAAGATGTTGGCCTGATCTTTTCATTGCATGGAATATGTCACAGGGGCATGAAGCCATAGCCTGCAGTAAAAATGTGTAGAAAGAGGCGCCTGGGGGGGCTGGTTAAGTGTCTTCGGCTCAGGTCATGATCCCAGAGTCCTGGGATCGAGCCCCGCATCGGGCTCCCTGCTCAGCGGGGGACCTGCTTCTCCCTCTCCCTCTGCCTGCCACTCTCCCTGCTTGTGCTCTCTCTGTCTGTCAAATAAATAAATAAAATCTTCAAAAAAATTCGTAGGAAAAAACCCAAATCCACTTCCTTCTATGGAAATAAATGATCATTTCCAGAGGTTATAAAACCCTCTAATTTTACCTAAGTCGAAAACCATGACCTAAAAGAAACAGGAGGTGCAGTTCTCATTCTGTAATGCGTAGGCTGGGGTTCCCCCTTACATTGATTATCTCTTCTAATACTTTTTGAAGCTCTGTGTAAGCTTAAGAATGAAAACACACCTCTCCATGCCACGTGAGTTGAGAACGTTAGCCGGCTACAGGGCGCTGACCCCTCTCACATGTAGTTAAGCTTCAAAATACCCTCAGCAATACACTTCTTTGGGCCCAGAGTCCTCCTAAAGCCAGCTGGCCCCAGCGGCAGCACTAAATGTTGGACAAATCCCATATCACTTTCTGGAGAAAAGAACAGGGTCTTCCTAGCTCTTTGGCAATCTAGAAACCTCCACATGACACAGTAGCCTCTCAAGTTCATTGATGCAGTGAGTGATAGAAAACGAACCTAGAGGTCTCCATTTATATCAGAGGTCTCCATTTCCTGAGATAAGGAATCTTTAGGATTTATAAAATTAAGTTATTAAAACACTTGTGCTAAATGATTACAGAAAGCTGGTTTCCTTGAACACGGAAGTTTGGGTCCCTGAGAAGAGTATCAAAATAAGGTCTGAAGGTTGCACAGGAGAAGAAAATAATTTGCTTGGTGGGGATATGGTTGAGACCCTGCTCCAGGGACAGGCCAGAGAGCGGCCTGCAGAGGAAATCACCTATCATGCATCTCTGTGCTTCTGCTGGGACATTCTTTCGTGACTCCCCACTAAACAGCTTAGGAATTAGGGGAAAAAAAGGGACTAGAGCTCTTTCTACATCCAATTAGCCCAACCTCGATGAGAGCCAACTCCTAGAAATCCCCTGAACTAGGGCCCAGGTACAAATTCTCTTTATAGGGTAGAGCCCCTCTGAGTGTTTCCATCTCCCTCCTCCCAACCCCCAAGTCATGGCTGGCAATTCTAGCCCACTGACCTTGAGTCACGTGTCCAGCAGCTTGGTCTTCCAGGTTGGGGGTGTCTCCAATGCCTGCTTCCTCAGCTGGTTTATGGTCAGCAAATGAAGAAGATATAAGCAAAGACAGTTACTGTTTGCCAGAAACAAAGCTCTTTGCATTTTCCAGTATTTTTCCAAGAATATTCAGGAAAGGCACATCTTACGAGTACCAAGGGGCTGCTCCTCTGGCTCTTTGCAAATATTATTGCTGGGGATGTGGAAGAAAGCAGGTTACTAAGTGAACCCCACCACACCCACATACCTTCCACGTGACCATGAACTTGTAGGAAAGACCTTCTCCACAGTGGGCCCAGGGTCCAGAGCGCCCCGCTCAACAAAGACACGCAGGATGGGTGAGGTCAGAGAGGCAGTTTGCTGCTCAGCCTCTGATACTGGAACCATGTCTGAGCGGCAGGTGCACTCCCGGCCCCAGCCAGGGCTCTGGGGGCACCAAGGGTACAAGGAGACACTAGTTGTCTAGGGCTGTTGAGTCAGGCTGGGGTTCACAACCAGGCACCACCATTTACTTAACCTCTCTGAGCCTGTTTGCTCATCTAGACCCCCAGGTGATGATGCTGACTTGTCTCGTACAACGGTAGTGATGGTTAATATGAGAATTTGTGTGAATGTGTTTAGCTAAGTGCCAGGAGTATGGGAGGTGCTCCAAAGCTGTTTGGTTTCTTGTCTCCAAACTACTGGGCAAACCCCTCTAACCACGTGCTAGGAGTAGGTGTCACCTGGTTAGAGGGAAGGCAGCGGTGCCAGCGACCAACTTCTAGGGCGTCTTGGGCTCCTGCTCAGGGAGCCACAGGTCACCCCAAATGAAGAAGACCACATCTTCAACAGTACCGAAATCAGTAAGCTTTACTGCAATGCCAATTTCTGCACCATGAAGAACCAGGACATTGCTCCGGACAATGGATACAGCTGTCCAGAAGAAAGAGTCTATAAAGCAAGTTGGCCACTCGTTGATGCACGCTTGCCTCATGACCCCAGAAGAACCATCCTGCCCCGATGGACAGTGACAGAGAAGCCACCACCCTGAAGAAATGCCTACAAGTTGCTGGCTGGGCCACCAGTCTTTTCTCCCAGTCCTGCGATGTTTGAGATTTTACACCTACAACAGAAATGCCGAGTGACCAGCACGGGCCCCCCATGGAGAGCGTGGATGAGGGAAAAGAGATTCTCGGGGTCGCTGGACAGCTGCACAGTGGCCTTATAAACACCTAGCCTGTGCGCTGTCCCAGAACAGCTGCAGTGAGGGTAAGAGGGGGCTGGCAGCGGGCTCCCCATTGGCCGGATCATAAACATGACCACCCTTTGGGCCCCCACCAGCTGACACTATGTCACCCGCGAGGTCCAATGGTGATAGGTCCGTGTCATTTGACAACAGCCAACTGTCCAAGAGACGCAGCTCCAAGCACAGATTTGGTCTGAGTTTCTGACGAGGCTGTGGTAGAAAGGCTTGGAGTGACAGCAAGTCCAGCTGAGTGGCACAGAGTCCTGGAGACCGAGAACAGGAGGGGACACGTGGGGATGTCACCATTGCTAGAGTGCTGGGAAGTCACCGCACTCACAGGCCAGTGCAGGGTTGAATATCCTGGCCCTGGCACGTGTCAGAAATCGAAGGCTGCTGATAACTCCGATGCCTCCTCCCCAGTTCCCAGCAAGGGGGGGTGCTCAGAGAAGCCAAAGGGGGCAGGGCAGGTGTATGACTGTGGGCGGGCCATCAGGTTACTACATGGCCTCTCTCTATCCCTGAAGCCCCCAGAAGCAGGGGCTCCCACCCCAGCAAGGCAGGGATTCCTGCAGTGGGGTGGCCATACTGCACCCCCAAGTGGACCTCAAAGGAGAAGTTTCATCAGTGCACCAAGATACAGCAACTGTGACACGCCAAAGCAAGAACTAAACTAAGGTACACATTGTCCAAGACGATAGCTGGAAAAAAGTCCCCCAATTCTGAAACCTCCCTACCTCATTGAGGATGTGGAGGGTGGAGAGGGGGGCTTGGAGTGTGGAGGACAGCTACGTGGCCACCTCTCATCTCAGTCCCATTGGAAGGGTTTCAAGGCACCACTCGGAGACACTCGGTGTGTGTCCCCTGTGGATAGCGACGTGGCCGAGACCGCTGTCAGAATCCCACCCGGGAAAACCAGGAGAGATGGGCTGGCCCTGCTTTGGGGGCAGAGTGAAGGCGTGTGGCAGCAACCCATGTGGTCAGTCTACACACCCCAAGTTTGCTTGGGCAAAGAATGCCCATGTGTCCCCACAGACCCGATACGGGCCCAGGGCACCAGTCATGTGGAGACGTCTTGGACCACGGCCGGTAGGCCACCAACAGAAGCCAGCCAGCCTCAGCGCAAGTAAGCCTAGAGGGGCATCTTCAGATTTCAAGGGGCCGAGGAGAGTGAAGTGTCTGCTGGAAGCCAGTGCAGAGGGAGGGACCTGCGGGGGGATAACTGGGATCGAGGGGCTTGAAGAGCTCCCAACAGGTGCCCACGAGAGAAAGAGTCAACTTTAGACACGGCAGAGCATTGTGAAGCTGTCTCACAGTAGTGCCAATCCAGGACGAATTTCCCTGCCTCCGGTCTCCCCTGCCTCCCCAGCTCCAGAGGGGAGGGCTGTAACCTCGAATGAGCTTGGGCTACTGCAAGGAACTGGACATGCTACCCAGCACTCGAAGACTGCGTTTTGTGACTGAAGAGACTACAGTACTTTTGGTTACTTAGAAGTGATGACGAAGTCAAGAACAGGTACAGTTTTCCCCCTGGGAGGGGAAGGGCTCCCCCACTGAGTAAGCTGTATTGGGACGGGGGAGACAAAAATTGGGTTATCCAAGATCTCATCCCATGAGTCATTCCACAGCCTTCAAACGACCTTCACTGTCAGGATGAGGCCCCGCCTCTCTCCATTTCAAAAGACCAACTCACAAAGCAGAAACTACTTTGATGAGTCGGTGGGGGGGTTGCTGCTGGACTTCTGCGTGGGTGTTCTCCACAAATGGAGCCCTGGAAAAAGGCTGCAGTTTCCCAAATGGCTGCCGTGAGCACCATCTTTAGGAAGGAATGAAGACTCCTGTCTGGGGATGTTTCCCCCACTCTCCATTGCTGGTGAAATCTTGTCCAGAACTCTTCTGCCTGTCTTGTTGAGCACCCTCCAAATCACCACGCCAACAGCTGAATCTTTATGTAAGCCCAAAGAGGAGGACGAGAAGGGGATGAAAGCAAGCTCTCTGGGCTGAGCTCACCACTTCCTAAGGGCATGGGCAGCTCTGAGAGCCCCTGGTGGCCCTGAGGTCACCACTATTTCTGGTCGGTGCCCTGACTGAGCTACTCCCATCATCTGTGTTGACAGGGCAATCTGGTCATGCCTGTTCTATGCAAACATGTTTGAAGCAACGGTCCTAGAAATGGATGCTAGATCACATTGCTGAACTCCTTAGGGGTTGTCCCATTAAGATCCTCCAAAGGTGTGGGTTAGTCATCTGGACCTGCCACATGCCAGGGTACCCCACTAGGAGGTGACTCTGTCACTGGGCAGAGTCCCAGCAGGAGAGGGGACTGAGCTTGGGGGTGAAGAAGGCAGAATCTGCCACTGGCCTGCCTCAGAGGACCCGGCAGAGAGCTCTGAGCTGACATGCTAGCTGAGACGGGAGAAGAGAAGCTGGAAGGATTCCAGAAGGTCCTCTGTCCTCCGAGAGGCTGGCAGGCAGCCACAGAAGCAACAGGGCATCAAGGCACCAAACTCAGAACGACCAAAGATTCCCAGAACCCAGCATCCACCCACGTGGCTGCCTCGCTTGGGGAGAGCATCACCCCTATTCACACCCACTCCTCCACGTAGGGCAGCCGGGCACCCGGCAAGGGTCTCTTCCACCCCGCCATGGGAGTGACCCTCACCTGTGGCTCCTTCTGGGATCTCCGTGTGGGGCTGAGCGGCTGCCTGCTCGCCAGGGGCTCCCTCATCCACTAAGGGCGCTGTCACGTCTGAAAACCGAGAGTCGCCTTAGGGGGGCTAGAATGAGCCAGGCCAAGCCCCTCACCTTACTTCTAGTGTGGGAGCAGGCAGGGGCGGGGAGGCAGGAGGGGACTCAGCGGCATGCAAAAAGCAATACCACAAAGCAGGGCCCAGAGCCGTGCTCTTGCCTGATGTCTCCGCAGGAAGCACATTCATATCCTGCTTGGTGGCATTGGCTCATGAGACGCCCAGGCCATCTGCTGGGGACAGCCCCCATGTCAACATTGCAGCAAAAGAGACTGCTGGGTGTGGGCCCAGATGGTTTTAAAGAAGAAATGTTGAAAATCAGATCATCTCTGTGAGGCTTTGAGCAAGACCTTTGTTCTCTGGGCCTCAGTTTCCTCATCTGTGAAATGGGAGCAAGTGCTCTCCCAACTCCAAGCCCCCTGTCCCCTGAGCCCATGACTGATGGTTGGAAGCACAGACTCCCCTGGGGGGCAACGAACAGGCTGGTCCTATCCAGAGTTGGGTGCTTGACAACAGGCCTACAGATGGTCCACCTTCAGAGCAGAGGCCAGAGGTAAAAACCCACCACCAGGAATGGCTGTCAGCCTCTCATCAGGGTTAACCCTTCCAAATCAGCAGTCCTCCCTGAGCACTGCCCTGGCACACTCCCAGGCTGTTCCAGGCAGACATAAGGAGTTGTCAGCTTTGAAAGCTTTCCAAGAGCCTGAGTCAGTTTAGTCAAATGGAACCCATTTTAATTATGGTCGTCTCGGGAGCAGGCTGAGCAGCCGGCAAAGCCCACCCCCAGCAGGGCCCCCTTCCTCATGGGGTGGGAGTGGAAGCTCTTGGGGCTCACACATGTACAGGATCCAGAGTGCAGCAAGACTTGGCTGGAAGATTCTTCCAGAATAATGTTGATGGGAGCACTGAAAACCTTGATTTGGGAGGCTGCCATGAAGTCTGGCGTTAGGCTCTGAGGATCTTCGCAGGGCGGTAGCAACTTGCAAAACTGTCCTAACAAGATCAGCGGGAAAGGTCTTGCATTACCAGCTCTAAGAAGAGCAAAGAGCACTAGGCCTGGGTATTCTCCTCACTAGGCTGAACACCACGGGGGAAGGGCCACGCCCATTTTCTTCCCCACAGACGCACCCTTATGCCAAGCAACTGGCAGGCACTTGACAGTCGCTTTGTGAATTCATTCAAAAGTGGACACTTGGGGAGATGCTGGGCCAGGTTCTCATCCTGTGACAGCCTCCAAAGTCATGGGCAGGGCCAGGAGAAGTGCTGAGAAGCCTCCTGGGGGATGGATGGAAAGGTGGAAGGGCAGATACCACAGACTGGTTACTCAAAAGCCATCCTCAATGCCCCTCTCCCTTGATTTCTCTGACTAGTAAGTCGGAAAGCAAAATGTTCCATGTTCCAGCCTCCCGCTTGCAGCCAGGGCAGCCATGAGACTCAGCTCTGGCCAGTGAGACGTAAGTGGGAGTCAGCTAGCTGGGGCTTGTCGGAAAACTCTTGCTTTCCTAATAAAAAGGAAACACATTTGGTTTCAGGGCCCTTTTGGCCACTTTGCTTTGCTAATTTCTTCTTGCTCTGAAAGCAGATGTGATGCTTGGAAGTGCCACAGCCATCTTGTCACCATGAAGCAACAATCCAACTATTCAGGATGGCAGCAGATAAAGACAGAAGAGCGCTGATGACCCTGGGGACCTGCTGCCCTCCAGACGTCTTATTATGTGAGACACAGAAACCTCTTCATATCTATGCCCCAGCTAGTTGGGTTTTCCATGATCTGAAATCCAATGCAGTCTCAACAGACATAGATGGGAAGAGCAGGTAGTCGAAATCGGGACCAAGGAGCTCTTCAGGAAATACATGAGGAGCTTTATAATAACCTAGACACCAAACGTCTAGAGAGGACAGGTTAGGAGATGTGCTGGAATGAACACCCTGGCCAAGGTCCAGAGGCCTGGACCAAGCCTAGAGCCCAGGAAATGAAGGATACTAAACCAGAGCAGTCCCAACATGTGAGCTTGGAGATGTGCACTGAGTCGGCCCCTTCCTCAGCCCAAAGGCTGCTCTGGGGCCTGGTGGCTCCTGAGAGAAGAGCAAGGTGGGTGGGGGCTTCTGAAGGAGTATGGGGAGGATGATCAACATGGAGCAGGGGCTTTGTGGAGCCATGCTCAGGCCCCGCTTTGCCACAGATCCTGGCCTCTGCAAATGCGGCCGCCTCAAAGCCCACACATGACGAAGGTGCCCAAACCTGGCCCCGGCGAGCAAGGCATCAAAGCAGGGCTTGGGTCCCGTCACATTCCGGGGCCCGAGCCCGTCCTGCAAAGCCCCGAACAAGCATGTCTCTCAGCCAGAGGGAGAGGCGGCAGCCACCGCAGCCAGGAAGGGGGGCACGCAGGGCTGAAAGCATGGCTAAGCGCAGGCTGGAGGCGTGGAGCGGCTGTCTGAATGAAGCAATGACAGGAGGGCCCACCTTCGGCGGTCGGCGTGCTCTTAGCATCAGAGGTTTCAGAGCCCGGTTCCTCAGATCCATCATCAGCGGGGGTCTGCAGGGGAGATTCTGGAACATACACAATGAGCCCCTCAGAACGGCGGCCTCTCCCCACCCCTCCTTTTGGCTTCAGGAGGAAATGGGGAGCAGCGTCTTTCAGACCTGAAAATCCCCCAGCTGTGGAACCCAGATGGATGGGACATGGCCACATGATAAATTCACCAAGGGGACCGATCCCACCCCCACCCCAACACAACTGCATCACCACACCAGGGTCATTAGGCAAAGATGCTCGTTCCTGGGTGAGAAGAGAAATTGCTTTTTAATCAGCTGGTGGTTTCAAAGGAGGCAAGGGCTCTTATATTGACAAAAGGGAGGCTGATACTACAAAGCCAAGCTGTAAATAAACCCGCTGCTGTGTCTTTCCTGACGGAGAGGTTCATGGGAGATCACTACCACTCGTCGATGACAAGTAGACGCCTGGAAAAACACTCAGATCCAACTCCTTCCTCTGAAAAGGAATGAGCTCAGGGCAGACACCGTGACTTGTAACTGGACTTCTGGCTGTGTGTCTGGATTTGACTCAGCTCCTTGCATAGAAAGATCTCCAAGTACTGACCGACAGAACTGGAGTCACACCAGTTCTGTAACGCCTGAAATGTATGCAACGGTTGTCCACAAGACAACTGTCCTTTCAGAATCCGGAGCCAAGGAGGCTCTGGTGGGCTCCAGGAAAGCCACTCCACCCAGGGTGGGGGCAGCCTTGGAGACATTTTCAGGGCAGGGTCTGGGGGTGGGGGTGGGTTTGTGCACGAAGAAGAACCCCAAAATGAGAAAAGGCAAGTGGTGTTCAACTGCACTGGGAGATCAGACACCATTGCTAAAATGCTGGCACTGGGTACCCGGCCCTGGGGGCGACCATCTGGCCAGAAGAAGGGCTCATTCTAAACCAGTTTTCAGCACACACACAGCAGCCTGAGCCCGGGGCTTGCAAAAACCTGCCAACTGCCTTAAGAAGGCTTTGGACAAATGGTGAGGAAGCATCTGCAGACTGTCTGCTGGGTCTTGCCATTACTAATCAGCCTTGACTGTCCGAATACAGAAGCATAAGGCACGAGGTGCCCCAAGCACGCTTGTCCCGGAATAGCCCCTCCCCTGCTTGGTCCCGAGCCTGCCATCCTCACCATTTCCATTAGCCTTGTTAAATTTCTTGGAGGGAGGGAAAGAAGGAGGAAGAAGCCTCTTCTGAATGTCTTATCTGGAAGGTCTAAGAAGTTATCCCACTAACACCTTTTAATTCCTTAGGGTGCATTATTCTATCAGTTAACCCCCTGTCCCCTCTCCCACCTGGCAGCTCTTGGCTGTATCGAATCCTTGTCCAACTGGGAGCCTCCATGTAAATACTCTTCGTTCTAGTATTTTATACGTGGTTTCTTGTCATTATTCAAGATAGTCAGTCACTTATCTAAAACGTTGCTAGTAAAGTGACACCTTCTTGCCAAGTCATACTGCTCACTCCCCGTATAAAAATAACTCATTTTAAATCCTTAGAAGCAAGAATAAATTTGATGAGAACTATGGAATCTCTTAAGTATCACTTGCTTTCTTAGGAAGTATATGCTTTGGGTAAACAAACTATATACAAATGTTTTCCTTTCATAACAGTGACAAAAAGTTAGCAACTTAAATTTTGCATATATATATGATACCTATATCATATTTATATATATATATGTTTTAGCATAAATCTCCTGATCATGTTTTATGAAGAATTGTGTGGTTTTAGGAAGCATACGTGAGACAATTGTGAAACACAAAAGAACTTGGTAAGCTTGTTCTAACCTTACAAATTGAATTTTATTTCTCCTCCAAAAAGTAGGAATGGTAAAAACCACCTTTTCTCCTAGACTTTTTTTTAATGAAATTTTTATTTGAGAGCAGTTTTAGATTTACAGAAAAATTGCAAAGATACTCCAGAGAATATACCCCACATCCAGCTTCCCCAATTATTAACATCCTACATTGTTATAGGACATTCTTTGCAACATTGTATATATTTTAAATTTAATTTTTAAACCAGCCTACTCTAAATAGAGCATCAATGGCACAATTCACACGGGGCAGAATTCAGTACATGGTGATTCTAAGTTGGATTCCACCCACGAGGGGTTCCCAGGGCACCTGGCTGAGGGACAAGGGACAAAACGGATGACAAGGAGCTGAGCAGCCCTTCTGATAGGGCAGCACCACCTAGCAGCCTGTGACTCAGAGAGGGAATTCCCCTTGTCATCTGTCAACCAGGGAAAGTGACACCTGCCCTTAGCACTTACTGTGAACACTGCCTGAGACATTGATGGCGAAGGCGTTTGCAATCCTAGAGTTCTACAAAAATGCCTGAATTACCATTTTAAGGAAGTTCCCTTATAAGCAGGGTGGCCACAGACTTCATTACCCAAATCGGGACACTTGAGTTTGGAAGCAGCGATGGCCATCATGACATAGAACAGACTTGCGCGGGGATGTGTGGGCTCAGGTCCTCAGAGGAAGGAGCTCTTAGGGCCCCAGTCAGGGGGTCAGGGAGTCAGGGAACGAGGCAAACTCTGGCTCCCATCCCAAGCTGCCTCAGCCAGTGAGGGCTGTGGGGAGAAAGCTGGGGTGCCACTAACCTTTGGAATCGAGTCCTGGGGGCCACCACCCCTCTCATTCTACACTCCTGGGGTCAGGGTGGAGACAGAAAAGGGGAAGGGGCTGTAGAGGGAGGGGGTGGGAGGGAGAGAGCAGGAGAAAGAAAAACAAGGTGGGAAGAGAAAGAGGGAAGGAGGAAAAGGAGAACGTGGGAGAGGAGGAGACAGTGGGGGAAAAAGGGAGTAAGGGAGCGAGCAGGACTGAAAGGAGAAAGCAGATTTCTTCACTGCCCTCCCTGGGAGCCGCACCTTAGCAGCTCTGGCTGGAGCCGGGCTATGGTTGGAGAGAGGTCAGAACGCACATTTTTTTGCCCCCATTTGGAGCTTGACATTAGGAGGGCAGGTCTGGCTCCCTGGGACACTTGGCTGGCATGGATATTTCCCCCCACTCCCCTCCCCCAGCACCTGGGGCTGGGAGGCCCTGAGAAGGCCACAGTGCAGCCTCTGAGCTCCCCAGGATAGCGTACCCACTCTTCCTTCACCTCCTCCAGCCGGGAGCCCACTTGTCTGATCCCCGGGTTCCTCTGAATCCTACATTCTCTGCTTAAACAGAGAGACAGAAGTCACCTTTGGAACCAGGCCCCCGAGAAGTCCTGCAAGTAGGGATTATTGCTCCTCACGCTTCCCCAACCCAGGGGACCTGCTGGTGACCCCACCTCCTGTAGGGAAACTTCCCGGACAGATGAACCCTCTGCCACTTCCGGCCACTACTCCATACCCCAGGCTGCAAAGTGTTTTTATTATTTTTAGCATTAACAGAGAACAAGAGCAGGCTGTTTGCTATTTTGTCTCTTTAGAAATTGGTCTGGAGGGCAGGGACGGAATCCTTACACTAGGGCCGCTTGGAGCTGCAGGCAAGGACGCAGAGGACGGCGTCTGAAGCAGGAGAAAGGGCATAGTGTTCTCCAGGGGCCTCCCCAGACTCCGTGGTCAGTGAAATGAAACACATGTGTTTGGTAGGGGAGAGGAGGAGGCCAAGACAATTTGGCCCAAAGACTGTATTATAGACTATTTAGAGGTTTCGAGGATGCAGTTTGTTAGTGTAGGTACAGCAGGAATCCCAGAGCTGACCGACTCTTGCTGAAACAGGGCCCAGACAGGCTCGTAAGGAGGACACACAAATAACATCCAAAGCTGAGGATTCTGCATGCTAATGCATGCGGCTGGTTTAAAGATTAATCGATGTGGCTGAAGACTCAAGTGAGCACCCTGTATTCATCAGACTGACAAACCCCCTGCAGTCCTTGTCATGCTGCTGTTCACACATGTCAAACTCTCCTTTGGAAAGGTATTCTCAAAGAGCCTCACATTTTGAGTTCTCTTGGCCCTTTCAAATTAAGAGGCTTCACTCTGTTGACAATCCAACAGAAGTATTTAAAATTCCTTTTAAAATGCGCACCCCTCCGGCCAGCCCTTCCCGGAGCAAGCGCCTGAGCGTGCTGTGTGTGCGTGCATGGCCATGCACTCACCTTTCAGGCCATGGTCCACGTCCCCTTCGTGGTCTTGCAGTAGGGTGTAGCCCCCCTGAGAGGGGAGATCTTTCCTCTCCCCCATCCCGTACGCCCCAGCATGATCTTCCATCATGGTGAACTCCTGGCGGGGCTCAGCCATCCTGGGTCAAGGCCCACCTGGGGAAGGGAGATGGGGAGGATGAGTGGGGCATGCTGAGCGGAGGGACCTACACGCTTGGGGGGTGGGGTCGGGGAAGGGAGAGAAGTGCCACCTCCCCAGGGGGTCGTAGAAGACAACTCTCCGCCTCCCCATCCCCTCCCCATGGGATGCCCAACCTCATCCCATGTGCCCTGTTTACCTGTATGGGCACATTTTTTTTTTTTAAGATTTTATTCATTTGACAGAGAGAGACACAGCGAGAGAGGGAACACAAGCAGGGGGAGTGGGAGAGGGAGAAGCAGGCTTCCCAGGCTTCCTGCCAAGCAGGGAGCTCAATGCGGGGCTCGATCCCAGGACCCTGGGATCATGACCTGAACCACCCAGGCGCCCCCCTGTATGGGCACTTTTAATTCACCTGTATCACATCCAGTCCTACTCAAAACCACCAGGTGGGCAGGTCCAGCGGGCCTGACTTGTTAAGCCCAGCACTCCTTCCACTTCATTAAAATATAAATGCTGCTGACTAGTAGCTTGATTTAAAAAATTTTTTAATGGAAAGCGTAAGACCAAACAGGAGAGGGAAGACATCAGCAGGTAAGGAAAATGAAGCAGTGGCTTTTATTTCTAACCCTTTAAAAATCTCAGCTCTGTCTTGATTTATTTTACATGTATTCAATTGATTTATTACATAGTTACATAAGTATACATAATAAATACACACATGTAAATGTAAGTATATGTAAGTAAATATATATAATAAACACAAGTTGACTTATTTTACATGTATTTATTTATATCTTTATAGTGTTTTGTTATTTATATCTTTATAGTGTTTTGTTACTTTTTGCCCCAGATTCATGTCAGTTTTTAATTTAATTAATATTTTAACTTGAGATAATTTTAGACTTACAGACTTACAGATAATTTTAGACTTAGTAAAAGTAGCCCAGAGGATCATTTTATTATTTCTAACCTTTTGAAGTCCCTTTCAAATATATTTGCCTATGTTATCCTTCTATCTTTCTGACTTTTTACATTGTGCTTGTTTTCTTTTAATCTTTCCTTCTTATAATTGTAACTTTTATAATTTATCATAATTTTAATCTAAATTTAGTCTTTATTTTCATTTTTAAAATGTGTGCTGCCATTTCCCCTTCTTTAATTGCCTTCATTTATGTTCTTTCTTTTATTCTAATCGGATGTAAACATTACTTAAAAATAAAATCTTAAAAAAAAAAAAAAAGAATGAGCTCAGCAGGACCTCTGCTGTCTGGGTAGCCTGGCCCCACTTAGGTATTTACCGCCTATAGAGAAGGGGCCTCTTTTCATTCTGACCGAGGACCCTGTGCCTCAGGGAGCTCTTGGCAAAGGCATCGAAGATTGAGGTTCTTCAAATCTTTGACATCTCCCCAACGATGAGCAGGATTTTATTTTGGGCAGATCAGAGTGCCCATTCATCCTTCAACGCTTAGGACTTGGTGGTGATATTCTCTAACCTTAGATATGCTAATGGTCTGTTGCCCTTAGAAAGTCCCAAAACATCAGAACCCCTCTTCTAAGAGGGACCAGTTATCTGAGAAAACTATTGCTCCCCACCCAGCTCTAGGAAGTAGCATCTTCCTCGCTGGTGGAGCCTCTCAGGGCGTCCCTGATCACCACCCAATGGTTTGTCCCCGAGACTGGTCCATGAGTCACTTCATCTGGCTGAGTCATCAGATGCCCCACCCTGGAGTGGTGGGATCACCCCAGAAGCTCAAGGCCTCCCAAGCTGGCTGGAGACACTACACCTGAACCAGATGAGCCAGGCTAGCCAAATCAGGTTACCCCGTGCAAGCTGCAGCTCAAGATTCAGTGAATGCTAAGTTTAATGAGCTCTGTGGTTTTGTCCTTTAGATTTGATCAATTCCTTTCAATGAATGACCAAGTTTCCCCTCCTGGAACATGGTAGATGGAGGTGTACAAGTAAAAATCTCATTTACTGGTTTCCTCTTTTATAAAATGCCCGTTTATATCCTTTGCACCTCTGTTCAGATCTCAGTGCTCATTGTTATGACTTGAGTGGGCTCTTCATACATCAATAACATCAACCCTTTATCACATTTGTGGCAGATAGTTTCTCCAGTCAGTCACCTTTATTTTGGTTCCTGATGGCTTCTTACCAGCAAGGCTTTTTTTTTTTTTTTTAAGATTTATTTATTTATTTGAGGGGAAAAGGGCAAAAGGAGAGGGAGAGAGAATCCTCAAGCCGACTTCTCACTGAGTGTAGAGCCTGACTCGGGGCTCGATCCCAGGACCCTGAGATCATGACCTGAGTCGAAACCAAGAGTCAGCTGCTGAACTGACTGAGCCGCCCATCGCCCCTGGCCAGCAAGCTTTAATAGTTATATAGTCACATCTATTTTCCTTTGTGATTTATTCTATTGCTACAGCACACAAAGATCATCGATTTTTTCTTTTTTTTTTTAAGACTTTTACTTTTTTACTTTTTAAAGATTTTATTTACTCATTTGAGAGAGAGAGAACACACGAGGGGGAATGGCAGAGGGAGAAGCAGAAGCAGGCTTCCCGCTGAACAGGGAGCCTGATGTGGGACTCAATCCCAGGACCCTGGGATCATGACCTGAGCCGAAGGCAGATGCTTAACCAACTGAGCCACCCAGGCGCCCCTCATCAATAGCTTCTGCTACGTTTTCATTGATCTAATTCTTTACATTTGACTTATTAATTCATCTGGAATTTATTTAGGTGTATGACATGAGGTGAGAATCTAAACATTTCCTCCCAAATATAATAGTTAAACCAACGGCCCAGCCCTAGTCATAGAATCTGTCCTCTTGCCCAAGCAAATGAACCAGCTACTCTGCCCCACTTATCTGCCTGTATTGGTGTTAAAGTTGCCCCCCACCCACACCCCCGAGTGAAACTTTGGATCTCAAGTCTTATTCTTTAGGTGGCCATGGACACTCTCATTTTCTTTTTCAAAACTGTTTGACCTTCTGGGGCGCCTGGGTGGCTCAGCTGGTTAAGCGTCTACCTTCGGCTCAGGTCATGATCCCAGGGTCCTGGGACAGAGTCCCGCATCGGACTCCCTGCTCAGTGGGGAGCCTGCTTCTCCCTCTCCCTCTGCTGCTCCCCCTGCTTGTGCACTCTCTCAGATAAATAAATAAAATCTTAAAAAAATCCAAAAAACTGTTTGACCTTCTTGCATGTTTTCTCTTGCAGATGTCCTTTAGAATATTTTTTCTCAAATTCTCAAAATTCCATTGGGATTTTGGCTGGAATTGTGTCATGTGCCAAGATGATAAAAATTGCTCTCTTCAGAATATTTAGTGTTCCTATTGGAGGAGCATAGTGTGTCTTCCCATTCATTCTGGTTCCCAAATCTCTCTGGGTGGAGGTGGGGAACGTAGGCCTGCACTTCCCTGGTGGGGAGGTCACTCTTGATGTCTTGCCATCTTCTGTGCTGACTTTGTGAGTGGGACCCTCACCCTCATCGTGCTGATGATTTATGAAGGGATCTGGGTTTCTGCAGTGGAGTGATCAGGCTGCAGTTCCAATGCCGAGACTGGCCCAGAAGTGACAGGTTCCCCTTGAGGTCTCCGGGGAATAAACACAGGAAATATTTTCTAGGCCTCTCTCTATCAGACAGATGTGATCCCTTAGCAGAAAATCTCTCACTCAATGAGCTTGTGAAAAGAAGTTGGCAGAGTTCAGGAGGGTTTTGCAGAAGAATGCAGGGGTGGGAGGGGGCATTCTCCTCTTTTCTCTACTCCTGAGGTCAGTTTGCCCTCAATCCAGTGGTTGGTTGCTCCTATTTTAAAATCACCGGTTTTCGAGAAAGCAGTTCTTCCAAAGGAGCCCGGGAGGTGTGAGACGCTGGGGCCCCGCATGCACTATATGGTTCGCCACATTCTGCTCATGGTTAAGTCATGAAGTCCCAAAGCCCACCCTCCACTTATGCCCTGAAAAGGGGGGGCTCCCCGATTAAAGTTCTCTTCTTCCGACAAATGGTACAGCCACACATCCCAGCCCTAAGACTCTCAGCCAAAGACAGCAGACTGGAAAACACAAAAATAAGCACAGCCCTGAGGTGGGTACACAGCCCAGACTAGACTCGGTCACCACCCCACAGATCCCTGTAATCTAAGAGGGACGCACAGACGGGAAAATAAACACATAGGGAGTTGTTTTCCGAAGGCTACCCTCTGCTTTCTTATTCTTCTAAATCAACCAATTTCTCCTCTCTCTCTCTCATTTCCTACCTCCTATTTTCCCAGGCAGTGACTTAAAGGCAGTGGGGGGTAGGAGGTAAGCAAGAAATTTTAGGAGAGGCATAAAAGTTGAGTTAAATCTGTAAACTAAAAAGGGTCATTTTTTAGGCACCCTTGGGGAAAGTTCCTAACTAGAGAAAACAAGAGCCAGAGCGTCCTGGGGTCTGTTCCTGTCATTCTGGAGCTGAGCCAGCTTTGGCCTGCGAGGGAAGGCGCCTTGTCCTGTGAGAGGTCACATTCCCAGCCCCACGCCACCTTGCTGATGGACAGAGTCAGAGTGGGGCAGAGAAGGGGTCAAGTGTCCACAGGGTGAGAGGCACAGACAGACAAAGAAGATATACAGGTGAAGACAGGATAAGGGAAAGGCAAGGGGGTGAAGGCACAGGGAGGGATGAATCCCTGAATCAAATCATGACTGCTGCTACCCAGTCTTTTATTATTATTATTATTATTATTATTATTATTATTGAGGAAAAAGTCACACAACGGAAGATTAACCATTTTAAAGCGAACAATTCAGTGGCATTTAGTACATTCACAATGTGGGCAACTACCACCTCTAACTAGCTCCAAAACATTTTCATCACCCCAAAAGAAACCCTGTGCCCATGAAACGGTTTCTCCTCATCCCCCCTACCCCTACTCCCTGCCGGCCACCCGTCTACTTTCTGTCTCCATGGATTATGTATTTCAGGTAACTGAAATCATTGACTATGTGGCCTTTTTTGTGACTGGTTTCTCTC